TACAGTCTATAGTCCAGACTATAGTCTATAGTACAGACTATAGTCTATAGTCCAGACTATAGTCTATTGACCAGACTGTAGTGTAGAGTCCAGACTATGGTCTATAGTCGAGACTGTAGTGTATAATCCAGACTGTATTCTATAGTCCAGATTATAGTCTATAGTCCAGGGTATAGTCTATAGTCCAGACTATAGTCTATAGTCCAGAAAATAGTCTATACCCCAAACTATAGTCTATAGTCCCGACTATAGTCTATAGTCCAATCGATAGTCTATAGACCAGACTAAAGTCTATATTAGAGACTATAGTCTATAATCCAGACTAGTCCAAACTATAGTCTGTATAAGAAGTGTAAGTTTTCAAACATATCAAACATCTGCTATATTTTCAAACCCTGCTGTCATTATACACCTCTTTTCTTACCTTATTTTTTATATTCTTTTTAAACACTTCTTTCGTTAAAACACAAAATACAAAACCCAACAAAGGAGTTAGCAGCAAAAAATCTTTATAGTAAATAAAGTTAAGTATGAAAAAAAAAAACTGCTAAGTTGACAGATTTATGCTTTTATGTAATAAAAAGCCGGTAATATAAACAAAACCAAAAACGACCAATAATAAAACAAAACACACAGTCAAACTGACACAACTGCTTAGTTGTCAAGTCTTGTTTAAATTACATTTGCTGTATAAATAGTTGTGTTTTGCTTAAAAGCAAGTATGTTCTGTTTTCTACGTTTTGTTTCGATGTCGGACTGAATGTTTCAGAGAAAACATAGAAGAAATCTTTGCAAATAAATCATATAAATTAAAGATTTGGATTAGTAGGGTGTTTATTAGGCGAGTTACAGGAATATTTTCGAAACTAAACTAGAACTGAACTAGTATTGGACTAGAACTGAACTGAACTGAACTAGAACTGAACTAGAACGAACTAGAACTGAACTAGAACTGAACTAGAGAACTGAACTAGAACTGAACTAGAACTGAACTAGAACTGAACTAGAACTGAACTAGAACTGAACTAGAACTGAACTAGAACTGAACTAGAACTGAACTAGAACTGAACTAGAACTGAACTAGAACTGAACTAGAACTGAACTAGAACTGAACTAGAACTGAACTAGAACTGAACTAGAACTGAACTAGAACTGAACTAGAACTGAACTAGAACTGAACTAGAACTGAACTAGAACTGAACTAGAACTGAACTAGAACTGAACTAGAACTGAACTAGAACTGAACTAGAACTGAACTAGAACTGAACTAGAACTGAACTAGAACTGAACTAGAACTGAACTAGAACTGAACTAGAACTGAACTAGAACTGAACTAGAACTGAACTAGAACTGAACTAGAACTGAACTAGAACTGAACTAGAACTGAACTAGAACTGAACTAGAACTGAACTAGAACTGAACTAGAACTGAACTAGAACTGAACTAGAACTGAACTAGAACTGAACTAGAACTGAACTAGAACTGAACTAGAACTGAACTAGAACTGAACTAGAACTGAACTAGAACTGAACTAGAACTGAACTAGAACTGAACTAGAACTGAACTAGAACTGAACTAGAACTGAAACTGTACACGAAGAGAACTAATTTGGAACGTAATACCAAAAATGCGAAACTTGAAACCCTATTTTTTCTAGTTATTAAAATATATAATGAAAATATAAGCCAAAATACTGTTGGGTGATTTGACAGTTTTTGTATTTTTTGCCACTTTTATGTTTAAAGTGTTAACTAAACAAAAGGAATCTAAGTTTGCCTTGGGGCTTAAGCTCAAGATTGATAAATAATAGAAGACTTTTTTAACAAAAAACGTACTATAAGTTGTTTTGTATAGGAAATTATCTCGACATGCGGAATCAGAGGTAACTGTGTAGCTTAAAAACGGATTTAAAATTTGTTTAGATATTTAAATTTCAAATAATGTTATAAATTAAGTAAAAATTGGTTAAAATATGTAAACATTTCTAATAAGAGAGAATTTTAAAGAAAAGCAAATAACTTTTTATTTTGAAGATATGGTCGTACGGGCCCTTAATTATAAACAATTAGTGTGATGTTATGTAGCAAAATATTAGAAAAATTTCTGAGAAATACGATTATGTTAAGAAATCAAAATTCATATAAAATTACTAACAATTATTTCACACACCGTGAAAAAAATGCAAATTTTATTTATTACAATAATCGAACCGCAATCCAAAATAAAAATATTCAAATCCCAACCAATCAACAAGATAAAAAGAACAACAAATAAACTTGATAAAAATTAAAGATAAAATAGACAACTACAGCAAAGACCAACCAACCGACCAAGAGCAAATAAAACTGCAACTCTAGTTTATGAATTCAAGGCGAGACGTCTACAAAAAAAAAATCGAAATATAAAGAGTAACCCACACAAAACAAATTATAGAGACTAGAGACTAAATAAAAAGGGCAATAGCAAAGACAACAAATAAATATAATAATAAAGAAACCCAACTATTAGTTGGTCATAAACTAGTTTATCTAGCGGTCAAGACGAATTTCATAGGGCCCCTAAGGGGTTTTTATTGAGCACAAAACATATTTTTATAAAATTTTAATGAAAGTGATTAAAAATTTGATAGAAAGTAAAAAAAATCTACGTAGAATGAGAAGTTCAAAAATTCGTAATAAAAAGAGAATTTCTCTTAAAATTTGATTTTAAACGAGACAGTTCTATAGTCCAGACTGTAGACTGTTCTATAAACCAGACTATGGAATGTTCTATGGTCCAGACTATAGACTGTTCTATAGTCCAGACTATAGACTGTTCTATAGTCCAGACTATAGACTGTTCTATAGTCCAGACTATAGACTGTTCTATAGTCCAGACTATAGACTGTTCTATAGTCCAGACTATAGACTGTTCTATAGTCCAGACTATAGACTGTTCTATAGTCCAGACTATAGACTGTTCTATAGTCCAGACTATAGACTTTTCTATAGTCCAGACTATAGACTTTTCTATAGTCCAGACTATAGACTTTTCTATAGTCCAGACTATAGACTTTTCTATAGTCCAGACTATAGACTTTTCTATAGTCCAGACTATAGACTGTTCTATAGTCCAGACTATAGACTGTTCTATAGTCCAGACTATAGACTGTTCTATAGTCCAGACTATAGACTGTTCTATAGTCCAGACTATAGACTGTTCTATAGTCCAGACTATAGACTGTTCTATAGTCCAGACTATAGACTGTTCTATAGTCCAGACTATAGACTGTTCTATAGTCCAGACTATAGACTGTTCTATAGTCCAGACTATAGACTGTTCTATAGTCCAGACTATAGACTGTTCTATAGTCCAGACTATAGACTGTTCTATAGTCCAGACTATAGACTGTTCTATAGTCCAGACTATAGACTGTTCTATAGTCCAGACTATAGACTGTTCTATAGTCCAGACTATAGACTGTTCTATAGTCCAGACTATAGACTGTTCTATAGTCCAGACTATAGACTGTTCTATAGTCCAGACTATAGACTGTTCTATAGTCCAGACTATAGACTGTTCTATAGTCCAGACTATAGACTGTTCTATAGTCCAGACTATAGACTGTTCTATAGTCCAGACTATAGACTGTTCTATAGTCCAGACTATAGACTGTTCTATAGTCCAGACTATAGACTGTTCTATAGTCCAGACTATAGACTGTTCTATAGTCCAGACTATAGACTGTTCTATAGTCCAGACTATAGACTGTTCTATAGTCCAGACTATAGACTGTTCTATAGTCCAGACTATAGACTGTTCTATAGTCCAGACTATAGACTGTTCTATAGTCCAGACTATAGACTGTTCTATAGTCCAGACTATAGACTGTTCTATAGTCCAGACTATAGACTGTTCTATAGTCCAGACTATAGACTGTTCTATAGTCCAGACTATAGACTGTTCTATAGTCCAGACTATAGACTGTTCTATAGTCCAGACTATAGACTGTTCTATAGTCCAGACTATAGACTGTTCTATAGTCCAGACTATAGACTGTTCTATAGTCCAGACTATAGACTGTTCTATAGTCCAGACTATAGACTGTTCTATAGTCCAGACTATAGACTGTTCTATAGTCCAGACTATAGACTGTTCTATAGTCCAGACTATAGACTGTTCTATAGTCCAGACTATAGACTGTTCTATAGTCCAGACTATAGACTGTTCTATAGTCCAGACTATAGACTGTTCTATAGTCCAGACTATAGACTGTTCTATAGTCCAGACTATAGACTGTTCTATAGTCCAGACTATAGACTGTTCTATAGTCCAGACTATAGACTGTTCTATAGTCCAGACTATAGACTGTTCTATAGTCCAGACTATAGACTGTTCTATAGTCCAGACTATAGACTGTTCTATAGTCCAGACTATAGACTGTTCTATAGTCCAGACTTACTGTTCTATAGTCCAGACTATAGACTGTTCTATAGTCCAGACTATAGACAGTTCTATAGTCCAGACTATAGACTGTTCTATAGTCCAGACTATAGACTGTTCTATAGTCCAGACTATAGACTGTTCTATCGTCCAGACTGTAGACTGTTTTATAGTCCAGACTATAGACTGTTTTATAGTCCAGACTATAGACTGTTCTATATTCCAGACTATAGACTGTTCTATAGTCCAGACTATAGACTGTTCTATAGTTAAGAATATAAACTGTTCTGTAGTCAAGACCATGGACAATTCTATAGTCACGACTATGGACAATTCTATAGTCAACCCTATAGTCTGTTCTAGAGTCAAGACTATAGACTGTTTATACGAAAATTCTTTTAAAAAAGAGAATTCATTCGATTTGGTCAAAAATTTTTTTAAAAATATTCCTCTAAACCTACAAGTACCGCTTTAAACTTAAGTAGGGTGACAACAGAATACTTAAATTGGAAAAAAATAATAGTAAAAACTGAGAAAAAAGTTTTAAATAATAAAATTATTATAAACAGAAAACATACGCAAATAATGTTGGCGATATGATGGTGGTGGAGCTAGTGCTATTGGTGGTGGTCATAAAATCCATTTTAGACGACAAATTATCACGCGGCGTAGACAATGATGATGACGATGAAGTCGAAATGGAAGATAATGAGACCGAAGAGGACGGAGACGACATCAATGATGACAATTGAGGTTGATTTTGATCATACAAATTACAATTCAGATTATAGACATCAAGTGGCGATGTTGATGCTGATAACGTTGAAGATGATAATGTTGTAGTTGCACAATGCGTAGATATCGAATGATGTGGAGGCGGAGGTGGTGGCGTAGTTGAGGAAATAGAAGATTTTGATGTGGCAGACATATTCGCAGATAATGATGCATTATTATGATTATGTTGATTATAATTATGATACTGTTGGTGATTGTAATGTTGATGTGAATTCATTTGTGGTGCTTCATAGATGGGAGAAATTAAACGTTGTTGATGCTGTAAACCATCTACAACATCATCATGATCATCAGCATCATCATCATCATTATCATGACGATTAGATGTAACCGATGAAGCCGGAGGAAGTTGCAATACCAATTGATTATACTGATGATATTGTACTTTATTATTTGAATTATTATTGTAATTGTTGTTGTTATTATGTTGTAATTGTTGCATTCTTTGCAAATGATGAAACTGAGGGTGTCGATGATCCAACATATGTAAGTTTTCCAATTCCGTTATTGTATAATAATATGGAGATTCATCATTATACAATGTTGCTGCAGCTGATGCTGCTGCTACTGGATGCTTATCCATAGACATTCCATTTGCTGTCAATTCATTTTGATTTGTTCTGTATTGTGGCTCCAAATTATGAAATTTACTAACAAATGGATGTTTGGGTGTGTATTTCATAGTGGCTTCTTTTGTTTTGTTTGGTGTTGTTGTCGGAGTTGTTGCTGTTGTTGTCGTCTGATAGGCCAATATGGGATCATGATATTTGTATATTTCCGCTTGAGAGGAAGAGGATGTTGTCAGTGTTTCATTATCCGCTTTATGGTTGGATTTTGTTGCACGACTTTTGCTTGAGAATGAGGTTTTTGCATAAAGTTTTTTCATTTTTTTATATTTGGTTTGAGTTTTTTATTAACTTTTACACATATGAAATAGTTATTTTAAATTTATTTTTTTTTTTATAAAAATTAAATTTATTTCATTTTCTAGATAGAAAGGCAGGATTAAGATGTTGTTTGTTACAAAAGAGATTTTTGAAAATTTTCCATCAACATAGGGAATTTTGAAAATTTTTCAGTCTGTACTAGTATACAGTTTAGTTTGTAGTCTAGTCTTTGGTCTAGTCTATAGTCTAGTCAAAAGTCTATTCTATAGTCTAGTCTATAGTCTGGTCTATAGTCTAGTCTATAGTCTGGTCTATAGTCTAGTCTATAGTCTAGTCTATAGACTAGTCTATAGACTAGTATATATTCTGGTCTATAGTCTAGTCTATAGTCTAGTCTATAGTCTAGTCAATAGTCTATTCTATAGTCTAGTCTATGGTCTGGTCTATAGTCTAGTCTATAAAATAGTCTATAGTCTAGTCTGTAGTCTAGTCTATGGCCTAGTCTATTGTCGAGTGTAGTCTATAGTCTAGTTTATATTCTAGTCTATAATCTAGTCTACAATCTAGTCTATAATCTATTCTATATTCTAGTCTATAGTCTAGTCTATAGTCTAGTCTATAGTCTAGTATATAGTCTAGTCTATAGTCTAGTCTATAGTATAGTCTATAGTCTAGTCTATAGTCTAGTCTATGGTCTAGTCTATTGTCAAGTCAATAGTCTAGTCTATTGTCTTGTCTATAGTCTAGTCTATAGTCTAGTCTATAGTCCAGTCTGTAGTCTAGTTTATAGTCTAGTCTATAGTCTATTCTATAGTCAGGTGTATAGTCTAGTCTATAGTCTATTCTATAGTCTAGTCTATAGTCTAGTCTATAGTCTAGTCTATAGTCTAGTCTATAGTCTGGTCTATAGTCTAGTCTATAGTTTAGTCTATAGTCTAGTCTATAGTCTAGTCTATAGTTTAGTCTATAGTCTAGTCTATAGTCTAGTCTAGTCTATAGTCAACTCTATAGTCTAGTCTATAGTCTAGCCTATAGTCTAGTCTATAGTCTAGTCTACAGTCTAGTCTATAGTCTAGTCTATAGTCTAGTCTATAGTCTAGTCTATAGTCTAGTGTATAGTCTAGTTTATAGTCTAGTCTATAGTCTAGTCTATAGTCTAGTCTATAGTCTAGTCTATAGTCTAGTCTATAGTCTAGTCTATAGTCTAGTCTATAGTCCAGTCTATAGTTTAGTCTATAGTTTAGTCTAGTCTATAGTCTAGTCTATAGTCTAGTCTATAGTCTAGTCTATAGTCTAGACTATAGTCTAGTCTATAGTCTAGTCTATAGTCTAGTCTATAGTCTAGTCTATAGTCTAGTCTATAGTCTAGTCTATAGTCTAGTCTATAGTCTAGTCTATAGTCTAGTCTATAGTCTAGTCTATAGTCTAGTCTATAGTCTAGTCTATAGTCTAGTCTATAGTCTAGTCTATAGTCTAGTCTATAGTCTAGTCTATAGTCTAGTCTATAGTCTAGTCTATAGTCTAGTCTATAGTCTAGTCTATAGTCTAGTCTATAGTCTAGTCTATAGTCTAGTCTATAGTCTAGTCTATAGTCTAGTCTATAGTCTAGTCTATAGTCTAGTCTATAGTCTAGTCTATAGTCTAGTCTATAGTCTAGTCTATAGTCTAGTCTATAGTCTAGTCTATAGTCTAGTCTATAGTCTAGTCTATAGTCTAGTCTATAGTCTAGTCTATAGTCTAGTCTATAGTCTAGTCTATAGTCTAGTCTATAGTCTAGTCTATAGTCTAGTCTATAGTCTAGTCTATAGTCTAGTCTATAGTCTAGTCTATAGTCTAGTCTATAGTCTAGTCTATAGTCTAGTCTATAGTCTAGTCTATAGTCTAGTCTATAGTCTAGTCTATAGTCTAGTCTATAGTCTAGTCTATAGTCTAGTCTATAGTCTAGTCTATAGTCTAGTCTATAGTCTAGTCTATAGTCTAGTCTATAGTCTAGTCTATAGTCTAGTCTATAGTCTAGTCTATAGTCTAGTCTATAGTCTAGTCTATAGTCTAGTCTATAGTCTAGTCTATAGTCTAGTCTATAGTCTAGTCTATAGCCTAGTCTATAGTCTAGTCTATAGTTTAGTCTATAGTCTAATCTAGTCTATAGTTTAGTCTATAGTTTAGTCTATAGTCTAGTCTATAGTTTAGTCTATAGTTTAGTGTATAGTCTAGTCTATAGTCTAATCTATAGTCTAGTCTATAGTCTAGACAATAGTCTAGTCTATAGTCTAATCTATAGTCTAGTCTATAGTCTAGTCTATAGTCTAGTCTATAGTCTAGTCTATAGTCTAGTCTATAGTCTAGTCTATAGTGTAGTCTATAGTCTAGTCTATAGTGTAGTCTATAGTCTAGTCTATAGTCTAGTCTATAGTCTTGTCTGTTGTCCAGTCTAGTCTATAGTTTAGTCAAGTCTAGTCTATAGTTTAGGCTAGTCTATAGTCTACTCTATAGTCTAGTATATAGTCTAGTCTATAGTATAGTCTATAGTCTAGTATATAGTCCAGTATATAGTATAGTCTATAGTCTAGACTATAGTATAATCTATAGTCTAGTATAGTATATATGTATATCAAGGCCAAGTTTATTTCAAAAAAATCTCTTTTATAACACTCTTTACAGCTTCAAACTGCAGCGGTTGATTTTTTTTTTTTTATTTTTTTTATTTTATATCAATTCAGAACACTTGTTTTTCCCACGCAGTCTATATTGAGCGCACGACTAAAAAAGGGCATAATTCCAATATTTTATTTTTATAATATTTTTTTGCAAATTCACTAAAAAAATACTAACAATTTCACTTTTTCCACATGATTTTCCACTTTTTCTATTATTTTTGTAAAATTTTCTTTATTAAAAATTTTAAACAAAATTCACTTTTATAATTATTATTTTTTTAGTTTTCGCGTTACCGTTTTTTTCTTTTGAAATTTAGCGAAAGATATCTTTTATAAAAATAACTGATCGATGATTACAAAACTCATGAATGCGCAAACGAGCTCAAATCTCAACAAGCTTCTCACAACAACTAAAACTAATCTTAGAGACTTCAAGTCTCTATCCAAGAGATACAAATTTCTAGTCATAACATTCTGTGTTTAGTTTTGTTTAATTCATACAAATTTCATTACTACTATTACAATTTTGAGTTTAAAAAAGGAAAAACAACAACTACAACAACACACAGTATAAAATTAACACCAGCTCCAATATTTATAAACAACAACTACAGAAAAAAACTAGTTTCAAGTTATGACTCTTATAAAATAAACAACAGACATTCATTGTTTTGTTTAGTTCAATTCATTTATATGTTTGCTTTGATTATTTCTTTTACTCAAAATAGGAGAGAAAGAGAATTTTTACAATTTGTATTTGTATGCAACTAAAAGAGTGAGTGAGCCCCATCATCATCATCAGTTCAATGGGTAATCAATGTTTGTGTTTAGTTTTTTATATTTCTTGTTGTTGCTATGTTTTGTTTACATTGGTGCTGTTGTTGTTGTGGTGTTCATATTTGGCGTGTTCTGTATGCTTGGCTGAGTTCATGTTAAATATAAGAAAAAATCGGCAACAACATTATTGTTGCTGTTGGGGGCTATTTGTGGTCCAAGAAAACCATTTTATTGTAACTAGTCTTCCAGCTCACGAATGATGCATTTAAGACAACAACAATAAAAATCTGATTTTTTTCTTACAATTGATGAAATGTAAAAAAAACAACAATAACAACATCAAAATAAGAAACAGAGGCGTTTTCCGTGAGTGTCTTAACAAATGAGCACTTTTGGGGTTTTGGACCAAAAACTACAAGGGATAAAAGTACGGTTTTTATCCCGATTTAAGAATAGACTTCAAAGTAGACTATAGACTAGATTAAAGAGTAGACTAGACTATAGAATAGACTGCAGACTACATTATAGAGTATCTTGTAGGCTAGATTATAGAATAGACTGTAAACTAGACTATAGATTAAACTATAAACTATAGACTAGGCCATATACTAAACTATAGAATAGACTATAGATTAGACTATAGACTAGACTATAGACCAGACTATAGACTAGACTAAAGCGTAGTCTATAGACTAGTCTATAGACTGGACTATATACTAGAGTATAAACTAGACTATAGACTAGACTATAAACTAGACTATAGACTAGACTATAGACTAGACTGTAGAATAGACTTTAGACTAGACTATAGACTAGACTGTAGACTAGACTATAGACTAGACTGTAGACTAGACTATAGACTAGACTATAGACTAGTCTATAGTCTAGTCTATAGTCTAGACTATAGACTAGACTATAGACTAGTCTATAGACTAGTCTAAAGACTGGACTATATACTAGAGTATAGACTAGTCTATAGACTGGACTATATACTAGAGTATAGACTAGACTATAGACTAGACTATAGACTAGACTATAGACTAGACTATAGACTAGACTATAGACTAGACTATAGACTAGACTATAGACTAGACTATAGACTAGACTATAGACTAGACTATAGACTAGACTATAGACTAGACTATAGACTAGACTATAGACTAGACTATAGACTAGACTATAGACTAGACTATAGACTAGACTATAGACTAGACTATAGACTAGACTATAGACTAGACTATAGACTAGACTATAGACTAGACTATAGACTAGACTATAGACTAGACTATAGACTAGACTATAGACTAGACTATAGACTAGACTATAGACTAGACTATAGACTAGGACTATAGACTAGACTATAGACTAGACTATAGACTAGACTAGACTAGACTATAGACTAGACTATAGACTAGACTATAGACTAGACTATAGACTAGACTATAGACTAGACTATAGACTAGACTATAGACTAGACTATAGACTAGACTATAGACTAGACTATAGACTAGACTATAGACTAGACTATAGACTAGACTATAGACTAGACTATAGACTAGACTATAGACTAGACTATAGACTAGACTATAGACTAGACTATAGACTAGACTATAGACTAGACTATAGACTAGACTATAGACTAGACTATAGACTAGACTATA